TGCTGTTGTCAAAATGTAGGTGAATTTCTCCCTTGATACAAAAAAACTACAAGTACGACATTGGGACCAATGAATCAAAATGCTCACATAGCAAACATTAAAGAAATGTAATTATACTTAATTTTGACTGACATGTTATTAGAAATATTTGTTAGATTTCCCGTTTCAACTCATCTATTTATCTGTTGGAAAAACTACTGAACATGTAGTCTACAAAACTGTCCTTCCGGTAGTGAACCTATTACATAAATTTACGTACCTCTTACATTTATTATATCACGGATATCGATTATTTAAAAAATAATTTTTTCAAAGGTTAAATGTTTTAATTTTAATATGATTAAATGACAAAAAACTGCAATGCCTGGAAAAAAAGCGGTACATATTGCGGTCAAATCCTGCAATAATTGATGATGGTTGGAATTACAGCACTTTAAATATGTAACCCTTGTAATGTGTGAAACCTCCACGTAAAGATACACATTCTGTTACATGTCGTGGTTATCGAGCTTGCTAGGTGGGCGATTTTTTCATATAGTCTAAGAGCTAGCGACCGATTTATTTTATACATTTCATTACTCATAAAAATCGGTGGATTAATAAGTCTTGTATAGCTACAGAATAACGAGTACCGATTCTGGCAACTCATACTGTTGCCGGTTGCCAGAATGGGCATTTCTTATTCTATGGGTATACAAAACTTCTGTCAGTGATTTTCATGGAGACTGAAATATATAAAGTAAATCTGTCGGTAGGTTTTAGACTCTTAATAACGTACACTAACCTTGTCCCCTTGAGCAACTTGCTTAAAGTGAGCTCCGGTCTGCGGATGATTGGGCAAATGTGTGATTCTTCGTCTCGACACATCTCACATGTTAGATTGGGGCTCGTGGAAGAGAGGACAGCTACCTCTATCTTTGTTAAACCTACCAAGGAGGCCTGAGCTATGCCTGAGCGAGGTTAAATTGCTGGAATAAAGCATCTTTGTTCTGCTGTATATATGGATTGTCCAGCATTTTGGTTCTTCCTGAACGTAATCCTCTGCCTGATCTGAAAATATACCGATCTAAGCTAAATAATAATAATTAATTAGCCTCTTCTCAAATGGGTGTCTTTGCTGAAACTGTGTTTGTTGTCTTACTGAGGGCATGACCACAGTTACAACACCGTTTTGTCGTTTGCACAGACGTACAATTTATATAAGCCACACAGACGTGACCCTAACAATATTCAAAACAAGTATGCAGAAAGCTCTTTTTGTATACACCAACATAACTTTTCGTCAAAAAAACGCACTTTTTCTACATTTAATTGGTGGATGAAGTCTTGTCCTGCAATTGATACCGGCCAAAAAAAGCAAACCCTATTTCTCAAGGGATAAAAAAAGTTTCAAATTTATATGAACTAACAGAGCTGACATTTGAAGATGAGTATTTGTTGCGAAGAAAAAATACTGACAGGAGCTTTACACCCCTCCAAATCGTTAATTGAATACTAAAAAAGCTGTATATAGGGTTATTCAGCTAGGATGACCCACCTAAGAGTTTCATAGTGGCAATTCAAAATACCGATTACAGTTGTTTTTTAATTTCAACTATATTTCAAATATTTTATTTCTTATTTGGTTCCGAGTGCGTGACTCTGCGTTGGTAGAAATGTCAGTGTGAAGTTGTTGTCGTTTTGACAGTAATTAAAAAGTGCCGATGCATTTTTACAATCATTTAAACCGGGTAAAATATCTAAATTTATTGCAAAATTTGTTGGAGCCTCAACTGAAAGATTTGCCATTTGCTCTGTAGAGAGGATTCTTGATTCTGGATTTCTAATTTTATGGGGGCTGGCCGTAGCCAGCCGGCACTTAGGGCTTGCCTTTGGGCCCATTGTGCCTTCCCCAAATACATATCCTCTCCTCTACTCGTCAAGCCACCCAACTGCTTGAATGTACTTGAGTAATGGAGAGGGTGGGAACTCCCTGATTTTTGCAATACTAGGCTAGATATCCCCTAGTATGAATTTCCTATAGGAGGCTAGCGCTGGACATTCACGAAGAATGTGCTCAGCTGTTTCCTCTTCTTCATTGCATCCATGACAGATAGGGTTTGTTACCACTCCTATTGTATGTAGATGTTTGTTAAACTGGTAATGTTCCGTAAGGAATCCTACCAGTTTACGCAGTTTGTCCCTTGAAAATGAGGGATAAAATTTCGTCAACTTACTGCTTTACGAGTTCGTTCGAGAGGGCGACCGAAGGTGTGGTTGCCAGTTCGGTTTCCCAGAAGGGCATGCGCGCGGCTCGCTTCGCCATCTCATCTGCCCTCTCGTTTCCTTCGTTACCACTGTGTCCTTTGATCCAACAAAGTTCTACACTATTCCTCTGCGTTACATACCTTAGCGTTTGCCTGTACTCCCAAACCAGCCCGGATCGAATCATGCAGTTGTTCAGGGCTAGTAGTGCAGACTTGCTGTCAGTAAGTATGCGTATTGATTTGTTGCCAATTTCACGTTCAGCAACGATTCTATCTCCCAGCATTATTCCCATCAGTTCTGTTTCTAAGACAGACGTGTGAGTGCCGAGAGGTACGCTGATTTGCGCATTCAGTTGTTCGGAGTAAATGTCCGCTCCTGAACCACTATCTGTTTTGGCACAATCCAGCCTTAACAAGGGTGTTCTGTTGAAAGTCTCCGTCAAGATACGAGTGTGCTTCGTTATGCGGTCTTTTTTGTTCCATACTTCCACCTACTCAGGGTGGGGTTCACGTCGTGCTTTTGTGGGGCTAATCTTTTGAAGGTCGTTTTATCGAACGCTATTTCAATATCCAAAAACATTCCTAAGGTGGAAAGTTTGTTCTCCAACGCCCATTCTATACTGTTTATAACTGTGTGTAAGGCCGTATCCGTGGATCTTCCTTGCATGTAGGCGTGTTGGTTCGGATGTAGAGGTTGTTTGCTTAAAGCGGTCTCCCGAATCTCTTTTTCGCTTAGTTTTTTTAACGTTTTCAACAAGAATGATGTTAAGTTAATTTGTCTATAGGTTTTAGCCAAGGTGTAATCTTGTCGTCCTGGTTTAGGTATAAAGATAACCTTTACTTTTCGCCATGCATTCGGTATGTGGTTTCAGCCACACACGTCCGAAGCATTGGCAATAAGATAGGGCGTAGTCTGCTCATTCCCCTCTACAGGAGGACGGGATAGATACATCCACTCCCGGAGATTTATATGGGGAAAAGCTGTCAACTACCTTTGCCGCGAGCGCCCAGTCCTGCCGGGAAGGTTGGGAACCGGTCTTTCTACAGATTTTTGGTTCTAATCATAAAATCGTTAGAAGATACCTGAACCAACAATTTAATGAGATTAGGACAAGGCGGAGTTCTACTCATTCTTGGCCTGCTCGAAGTCCGGATCTCACACCACGAGACTATTTTTTTATGGCGAGCTGTTGAAGAAACACTACCAAACATCTTTTAATTATATTAATTAGTTCAGTTTTGTTTATAAGTTTCTTTCAAACTGAATAACCTGTATATATTCATTTCTTACAGTTACAAATAACGTTGAAGTTTATTTGAAGGCAACCTTGGATTGAAATTAATTTTAAAATATATGTTGAAATCCAGCAACAATAACTGTAATCGGTATTTTGGGTTGTCAAACTAAAAGACTCAGGTGGGTCATTTTAACTGAACAACCCTGTATATATTTTTGATATTTGTGTTATTTTAGCAGTGCTTAAATGTAACATAGTTAATAGTAAATTGATCAATACGTTTAAATGTCGAACAAAAGCGGATTGAAAAAAAAATCTTTGTAAATTTGGGGTTGCTTATCCCGGCCAATATGAGGTGCCAGAATGGGCATTCCTTATTCTTAAAGTAACGTCCAGTGATTTTAATGGGTACTGAAATTTATAAAGTAAATCGGTCGTTAGCTCTTAGACCATTACTTTGTTCTACGAATTTCATGGAATTAAACTGGTCGTTTTTGCAATAGTAATGAAAAAATATCTGGGATTGAGCTTGCATCTTTCAGTAGTAAACTCTCTGCCTCTGCCTCTAAATACGATTATCATTTACAGGGTTGGTAGGATGGTACCTCGTTATAGAACAATTATTATGCTTGTATAACGGTGGAATATTAAAACCCTAACAAAAAAATGAACTTTAACAGACGATCTCCTATTGTTAAATCATTCTTAACGTACCACCAGAATTAAAAAACGAAATAAATAAAAATAAATAAACAGAAAACTTAGCTTCCTTTTTATATCAAAAAAGCGTAAATTTCCAAATTACTTTTAGGCGTGTTTTATTTTGTCTGTAGTTCTAAAGACAAATACCAAATTGAATTGTCTAGTACAATGATTAAATATAACTTAGAAGTATAAATAATAGGAATAATGTTTTTATTGATATTAGAGCTTCACAAAAACTCTAAGTATTTGCTTCAAAACAGTATATGTTGTTTTTGATTCGTACTGTTTCGTTGGAAACCTTCTATACTAAGTTATACTTGCTCGAATAAGAACAAAAATAATGTCTGTTGGATGCATAACAATGGATAAATGATATATTGACCAACAAAATTAATTGAATGTAGCCATAATATGTATATGTATTAAGAAGTTGTATCTACTTGCGTCTTACCATTTTTATTTTTCCAAGTGTTCACAAACATTTCGTCACATGGATGTTGTATGCTAATACTACGATGTCAACAAAAGTTTCGATATCCAACCACTTATGGCATTTTTCATTCATTAGCTTCAATGAGAAATACTTAGTATTGTGATACCTGTTTTCTATTCTTTCACTTTTCACAACTAATTAAATGACAATAATCTCTGACTTCGGATTCAAAAATAAATTGTTGTTGTGAATATATGAGACTCAAATAATATTTCATTTCTTTGGATAATTAATTTATTTAATCACTACAGTCACTGTATTTACACTGAGTTTTTATCATAATAATAATAATTAAGCATAGCAAGCAAGAAATTTATAAATATGCATAAAACAGAAATGCTTAATATCTATAACCTTGATAAAATCCGGGAACACCGTAACTACTTTGTGGACGATATTGCCCATCATCTCCACGATAACCTCCTCGAGCCTCTTCTGCACGATTAAATTCTAGAGACCTTAAAATAGCATCTGGAATAGGCGGCGGTGTTGGAAGATGGGCACCTTGAGGATGAAAACCATTTTCATCCGCGGTATAAGAAAGTGCAATCTGTTGACCATTAGGAGCAGTATAGGAAAACGATCCTTGCGCCACTTGAGCTTCACTTTGTGAACCAACGTTTTTCAAGAACCCTTGTTCTTGTGCCGAAATTCCATTCGCTGTGGCATAGACATAGTTATAAGTACCATCTCCATTATTATTATTGTCAAATCGCACTATTTGTATATGTGGTTGACCAAATCCAGAAAAGCTGCTGCCACTACCAAAAGGTCGAGAAAAAGGGGGTAAGTATGGCGTATCCAGCCGGGCAGAAGCAGCTATGGCGAATATCCCAAATGAGAAAATTAACTGAAAATTGACAAGTGTAACAAACTGTGCAGATAATTTGAGTGATTGCTTGCTTACCTGAAACATTTTTGAAGGTTGAACTGAATTGCTGGGAAGAAGTGATATCTAAAAAACTCTAAACTTACCTTTTATATATAAAATGCCCCACTATTAAAGATGAGTTTGAGTTGTTGGATTACAAAAGAGGATGAATTTCAGAGCAAGGTCATTTTAGACAAAATACCGATTTGATTGTTATAGTCGGAAATAGTTTAGTCAATGAACTTGCAGGCTCGCGAGAAAAGTACAGGTGACGCCCATCTTCGTTATTATTGCAATAATAGTGGTTATTACAGTTGCGGATGTCGTTTTTCAGGCTGTTGTTAATTTTTACGGCATTGTAGGATTTTTATTTTTTAATAATTTAAATGGTTAATTGGCTACGCATTATTTTTAATGAAAGTTGTTATGTTAATTGTAAAGAATATCTGTTTCTTCATTTAACATGTAACATTTAAACTCAACATAAAAGCTATTAGCTTAACTGAGACATATCGTATGTCCTGTATCAGGTAACACATAGGTATTTGTGTATTAAAGCACTACCATTCAAATTCATATATATTAAAATAATAATAGTTATCTGCTATAATTATGACAGGCTTAACATTTATTAAGAATAATTAGTCTATAGTTGTTTAAACAGAACTTACCTCCCCCCTTAAGTATAGTTAGTCAAACAAGCCTAGTTTCTTAGATAAAGTACAAATTATATTCTAATTGTATTGTTTTTATTTGCAAATTAAAATAAAAATAAATGCGGATTGTTAAAAACTACAAGTAAAAGAGCATGCTATGTGTATTGTGCAAGTGAGATTTTCCTAGTTCAAATTTCATGACCTCATCAACATTTTAATGTGGATAAATATGCTCGTATATCAATTTGAATAAGTATACTAATAATGGAACTGTATTTGACAAAATTAAAATGAACCGTTTTCCAATTTTAATAATTAAATATTTTTAAATGTGATTAATGAAATTGTATTATCTTGTACAAACAATTCCAAAAAATTGAAGTCTGTGAAGAACTTACATGTCGTCATGAAGTTTTTAGAAAGGAAGAACAAATAAATTTAAATTATCGATTTATCAAGTCCACGATAACCCTAAGGCGGTACAAAATTTCAGAGCAATCACCTTTATACAAACTTCTATAAACAATGTTAAAAATATGACGGATTAACAAATCATGGGTATAGAAGATATTGTACTAGCAATGTAGGTAGGACTTATTTGATAAAATTTTGAGATGACGTCATGAAATTTTTGATGGAAATGAATAGATAAAGTTGGGTTAGCATTTTATCATCCACACGATATCCTTAAAACCTGTTCGGTACCAGAGAGCCGGAAACAAAACATCTACTTTTTCATATTTTAAGAGTATGAACTGTATAGAAAACGAACAATTAATCACTCGTCACTTGGATCCTGGCTAACACTTCCTTAGTTTAAGCTGGGGACACAATTAAAGGATGAAAAATTGAAAAACAAAATTTTTGTGAACACGCTGACGTTGATAATTTGTTGCAAAATGTATTCACTGAAAGGATTTTCGTTCATATCGTATTCATTTGTTAAATCTTTAGAAAACAAATTGCAAAATTGGAAGAAAATTTAAATTTGCAAAAACTGCCAATGATGAGACAATGACTTAGCTAAACTATTGTTACGAAATAAACCTTTACGCCGCCCCGGACAACGCCTATGAGTTTTCTCGAGGGCTTTCTAGTATATGCAACGATGGGTGATTCATCATCGGTGACGGCGGCCAGGCCTGGAGCGGGTTGCTAGAAGTCTTGATGGCGGGCTCCAGAAAAACCTCGAAGCGGCGTTCGCGAACTCTCCAGAGGAACACAAGACAGAAGATAGAAATAGAAGCCACCTTCGTGAGCAAGTCAGTCGAGTGCAGTAAATAAAAGGATTATTAGAGCCGGAATTATTCTGTACATAATCACCATATACATAGACGTGTAGTTTTGTATTACTGTGAAATAAATTGTTGAGTTTTACCCACGCCGATTTTAAGATACCCGATCAACGTAACATTATGTAATTTTTTGCAAATTTGGCTTCTTCTGTTCTTTCTTGTATTAAAAAATTAAAAATCTTCTGAGCATTAAAAGTAAATTTTTTTTTAGATGTATAATTGAGCATGTTTCCCATGTAAAAGAGGGTATTTTGTGATAAAATAATGAAATCATTAACGATGAGAGGTAAATAGAAGAAGAATAAAAATAATATAGAGAAGAAATCAGAGAGCTCAGAGCAGCAAATAAAAAAATGTGAAGCAAGAAAATAGGGCTTTACAACAAAGAACTGAAATAATGGAGACAAAGATGGATAAAAAATGAGAAAGAAAGAAGTCGTAACAAAGTAGTTATCCAGGGGAACTATAATTATAAGCTTAAAAATTATACATTTAAAGATCAAACTCTCTGTGAAAACGCAAGTAAATTGGCAGACAACGATGGCATGAACCCAGAGGAAGAGAAACACAGGGAAAATAAGGAAAAAGCAAAGAGGTAGGGGGTGTGGGGTAAATTTGTTGAAATAGTTAAGATTTTCCAAAAAGTAATAATAGATGGACAGGCCTGTGTGGGGAATAAAAGTCTCAAAGAATTTTAAGGAAATAAAAAAGAAAATATTGAACACTAAAAGCTAATAAAATAATCAAAAAGAAAGGGATGAAAAACCGGGAAAATACCCAAAGGATAAATTTGGGCACATGGAATGTAAGGGGTATTTAAGAAACTGGTTAGCTAAAAAGACTAATAACAGAAATAAGAAGATACAAGTTAGATAAATTATCTCATTACAAGAAACGAAGCAACTAGACTGAAATTATAGAAGTAGGAGGCATAACATTTTATAAAAGTCGAGTAGATTACAAGACAGGCTTCATAGGACAAAAAAGGAATATTAGTATTGTTACGAAATACACCCTTACGCCGCCCCGGTACGACGCCTATGACCGTCGAGAACTCTCTGGTCTTACCCCGATGATGATTCATCCTCAACGCGACGGAGCGACGGAGCGCTAAATAAACTCCTGGAAACGTAGTCGCGAATGGGAGTCCCGGAGAAGTCTAGAAGCGCTGCCGTAAGGTTTTGAGGAAGACCGTGTGATGTTTAAATAGAGTCCACCTTTGGGGAACGGATTTTTCACCTAGTGGAGTCAAGAGCATCCAGTGAAATTCGCCGGAATAATTTTTGTAAATAATCGCTGCAATAGCTAGTCGTGTAAATTCGAGTTATTAAGAAATAAATTGGTGACTTTTACTCACGCAAATTTTATTCGCCCGCTCTGCGTAGTAGTATTATAAACGTGACGCACTAATAGAGAAAAGTTTCATTCAAATCTACACCAAGAAAAACCACAGAATAATACATGCAGAAAGTTAGAGAAGGTGTAATAATGATTGCAAAAAGGGCGATTTTAACGAAAATAGCAAAGCAAATAATTCTATCAAGAAGTTAAAAAAATAGAAAAAGTGGATCAAAACCAATGGGCATTAATAAGGCAGCAAGACTAATTAGCGAAAAAGGAAAAATAATAGAAAGATGGAGGAGTTACTTCAAGGAATTATCAAAGCAAGAGGAAGAAGAACAACAACATTTTAAATGAACAAGAAGTGAAACCACCGACAATAAAAGAAATAGGAAACAAAATTAGAAATTTGAAGAATAATAAAATCCGGGGGCAATTGGAATAACAGCGGAGATGCTGAAACAAGTGGCGATCAATTACAAAGTTGGATAAAAAAAAAATGGGAAATAAAAAAAATGCCTGAAAACTGGACCATGTCCTTAAAAAAAATGGTCGAAGGTTATTTCGACAGAACTTCCCTTGTCTATAAAGTACAGTCGAACATGTACGGCTTCTTCGAAAAGTTACAAAATTTGATTTTGAAAATTTAATTTTTTAATAATAAACTGTACCTCTTTCAAGTGATTTCTTCCCTAAGAAAATTTTGTGATGTCATCAACATTCTGTCAACGACACCTTAATAATTATTTAATTATATATAATTATAATAATAATTTGAATAGGTGGAGTATAATATGTATAATAATCACAGTATTGTGTACATATATTTTCGGTAAAATAGGGTGAGTCGTTCTTGATTTCATAAAAAAAATCAATTTCCTAATTCATTAATTGTTTTGTGTCTCCCTAACAAGTAAAATTAAATCCATTAATCACAAGTAAAGAGTCATAATATTTTGCGTATTTTAGATAGGATTTATTTATCAAAATTTTGGGATGACGTCATCAATTTTTTTGAAAGAGGGTAAACGGATAAATTTTGATTACAGATTCACCATGCTTACGACAAACGCAACGTGTTTGCAGATTTTAGAATATTTGGTTTTGCCATTTCAAAGATAAATTGTAAAATGTGTTATAAAATTGTGATTTCTTTCCAAAAATTTGCGTTTCAAAGTTAATTTGAAAAATGTTGTTAATCACTTCTGATGTTTTTGGAAAAATATCACTGAGAAAATCTGGATGTCTAGAGTAACAACTCAACACAGATTCACAAACCACAAGTGCAGGAGTATCTTATTTTCTTAAATTTAAATAATATTTGCTGTTGTAAATTTGGGAGATGATGTCATCTCATTGTTGGTGGGAATGATTAGACAATTTTTGGTTAGCGCTTTATCACCTACACATTTCTAACATTCATCTAAAATTTGACAACAATCGATTCAGTAGTTTCGGAGATTATCTTTCTAATAAAATTAACGCAGACGACAGACAAACGGAAACGGGAGACCTACTTCTTCGCACTCTATGGGTCATCAAACGCCGAGAAGACCTGAAGGCAGCGATTTATCGAATGGGCTCTATTACAATACTTCCTTCTTAGCTTACATTCAGGAGGAAAAAGGCGATGCGTTAGAATGCGTTAACTACAGGGAAATAGCGTTATTGAAAACATGTTACAAAGTGGTGGCGCAATGTTTGAGAAGTAGATTAAATGAACAAGAAGAAAGAAAATCGGGTGAGTATCAAGCGAGATTTAGATACAACAGATCTGTAACTGACTAAGTCTTTGCTTTAAAAGAGATATAAACTAGCTGCTGTGAGTACAAGAACATTCAATAGGTGCTGTTTGCGGACTTCAAACAAGCATATGACAGGATTAGCAGAAAGCAGATGTACCAAGAAATGAAAAATTTGCAATTAGCTCGAAAACTGATGAAGTGATCAACCTCATAAAAATGATCGTAGAGAAAATCACAAATAAAGTAATGTGAAAAGTACAGAAATCAACCGAATTTTAGAAAGAACAAGGTCTCACGTAATTACATCCATTATCAAAAATGTTGTTAGAATAAACAAACAAAAAACGGCATATTATATGATAATGGGAGATACCGAAGTGACACGGATACAAAACTGTAGTAGTATAAATACAGGAGTACCTATAAATTAGAAAGGATAAAGGAATTTACATATTTAGAGGTCAAAATTGAAGAAAACAGAAAAAGGAGACTAAAAAATAAAATCACGAATAGTAAATGGGAGTAAAAAGTACGGAAGTAGATCTTTCATGAGATCTAAGTTCGTTTCAGGAAAAGAAGAGTAATACGAGCCACAGTAACATACGCGAGAAATATGGATTTTAAATAAAACGGGAGAAGAAAGAATAGAACGCTATGAGAAGAAAATTTAAGGGCCATGTATGGACAAACTAATACCTACCGGACATGGCTGGATGAGAAGTAGAAACCAAGAACTTGGAAATAGTGAACCTAAAATAACAGCATAAATAAGACCACAGAGAATTTAATACTTAGGACACATGAAGCGACTAGAGAGAGATAGAATACCGAGAGGGAAGAAAAATAATTGGTAGAAGTTTATGTGGATAGATCTTTCCTCGCTCCTAGAGTACAGTGGAACAAATACAGGTTCGAAAAATTATAAAATTTAACTTTGAGAATTTTTTTTGATGATGATCCTATGAGTTAAAATTAATATATGAATGGATTGTTAAAGTACAAGTAAAAAAGTGTCGTATCTTTCTAGTGAGTTTTCCACATAAAAAATTGTTGATGACGTCATCAACATTTTAGCAAGGACACGTATATCAATTTGAACAGGTGCAGTGTATACTATTACATGTCACAGTACTCCATGGGATGGGTAGTAAAACATGTCGCTTCATTCATTAATTTTTTTATTTACGTTGTATAAGCAATTCAGAAACCACAAATGTAGATTTTCAGTCGTGTTTAAATTTATTCGGTAAAATTTTGAGATGACGTCATCAAGTTTTTTGTAAGGGGATAAATGGATACATTTTTATTAACAATTTACTATGCTTGCGGTCACATAAAACGTTTGCAAGATTTTGGAGTATCGGGGATTTCGAAGTTAAATTGCAATATATTATTACACGATTTTGATTTGTTTTTTCAAAAGTCTAGCGTAATAATAAGTAAGTGAGTAATAAAGAATAAGTCAAGATGGATTCATAAATTACACATGCAGGAGTATGATGTTTTATGAAATTTATGTAGTATTTATCCGGCAAAATTGTAAGATGACGTCATCAATTTTTAGGAGGGTTGTAAATGGATACATTTTGATTAACGATTGACCATGTTTCCGATAATCTTAAAACGTTTGCAAAGTTTCGGAACATGCGGTTTTGTAATTTCAAAGTTAAATTGTAAAATGTTGTTATACTATTTTGATTTTTTTTCCAAAAATCTGACAGGGTAGAGACACAACACGGGTCCATAAACTACAAGTGGAGGACTATGTTATTTTGTAAAATTTACTATTGTAAAAGTTGGAGATGACATCATATCATTGTTGGTGGAGATTATTATACAAATTTTGGAGCAGACGCCAGATAGACACACGGATAACCAGACAGAAAAATACAATGTTACAGTATTTTTAGAACGAAGCGCATTTTTTTTTAATTTTGGCAAAATAATTTAATAATAATTATGAAACAATGACTAAAAAACTATATTATATATTACGTGTAGAAATTTAATGACATCGTCGCAGAAGTTTACTAAATAAATGTTCAAAAATTGTACTAAATGTATTTCAACATGCAATGATGTTTGAGCTTTAGAAATATTTTGTTTACATAAAAAAATACATTATCGCTTTACCGTCTACATCATATGCGAACAAAATTTGACAATAATCGGTCCAGTAGTTTCGGAGATTATCTGTCTAATAAAAATCGACACAGACGACAGACAGACGGAAACGGGAAACCACTTTTTCATATTCTAGGGGTCACGAAACGTCGAGAAAACATGAAAGTGGCAAGTCCCGATGGATTCGTTTACTACACTACAATAAAAAACAAAATTGCAGATAAACTTTTATAATTTAGCCACTGGAGTTCTTTGAGTGTGTTTCAGAAGCAAGGGAAGTGCTGTCTGAATAACTTTACACCAGTTTTTATCTGACACGAATTTCATAATCATATAAGTGTAGAATGTGTAAATCACGTTCTTTAAGATGTTTACAGGATAGTAAATAAGTCACAATGAATATATAATTCTTTCAGACAAGAAATTAAGAAATCAGTAAAATGTTACAAATTTTTGTAAATTAAGTGTATCGTACTTGTCTATATTTAACCTTACGACTTATCGTGATTCTTTTCTGTTTATAACAATAGAGAATTAAACCGATGTTGAACAAAAATAACTAAAGGAAATAAATAGAAACGGAAGTAATATGTATAATTTGCTGGAATTATTGTTACCAAAACATTAAAACTACAATTAACCTTACTAGTGTCTTATTAAGAAATGGATTTTGATAATAATTTTTAAAATATAGCGGGTGAACAGTTTTAGCTAGACAGATTTGTCATAAGGCTACTTTTTGTCCTCTATACTTATTTTGTCTTAGTTATTATGATTGTCACTTTTAAGGCTATTCTTTCTTGTCAAATTTTGTTGTTATGTTTTTTATGTAGTTTAGTGCAAAACGTTTTCTTAAATTGTTCGAACTATAAACTAAAATTGGAAATTCACACCCTCAATGCCTGGTTTTTTTAAAGGCTTATGTATTTTTTTTTCGTTGTAATATACATATAAGTTTTCGGAAAAGAAAACGGGATTTATCCCGTCATGTTTTCAAATGTACTTCATACACGCCATATTATTAGGATATCGGGAAAGGGTCTTTAAAAGAGATTTTTCTAATGCAGACATTGTACTTTCAGTCATCTGAAAAGTAATACAAACATTCCTAAACGTTCATTAATAATACACAATTATTAAATAGTCCATAAACGTGCTTGCATAAATATTCTATAAAATAATACAATAATCCTATCTACTTAAATGAAATTCTAATATCTATATCCCTGCTGTCCTCCGAAACCTCCAGATGAAGATCCACCGTATTGGCCACCCCCTGAACCTCCTTGGTATCCACCGCTTGCTTCTTCGGCTCTGTTTTGTTCAATGGACCTCAAAATGGCATCAGGGATTGGTGGAGGTGTGGGCAAATGGGCACCTTGAGGATGGAAGCCATTTTCATCAGCGGTGTAGGTGATGGTAAATTGCTGTCCGTCGGGTGATGTGAACGAAAAGGACCCGTCGGCAGCCAAAGCGTCAGGACTTGTCAGCTGACCTCTTTCTTGAGCGGCAATACCGTTTCCAGTTTCGTAAGCATAATTGTACGAACCGTCACCATTGTTGTTGTTGTCAAGGCGAAGAATGGGAACTTGTGCGCCACCGCGACCACCGCTGCCACCGCTGCCACCAAATGATGAAGATCCACCAGAAAACCTGCCTCCTGAAGCACCGCCAAAGGCACCACCTTGGGGTCTGCCTGGTGGCAAGTATTGTGAATTAAGGCTAGCGCATGCCGCTAATCCTAAAATTGAACAGATCACAATAGCCTGAAACAATCGCATTAATGAGAAGTTGGTTATTGCTTTCATTAGTGAGGCTTACTTGTTTCATGGTTCTTTAATGAGATGCAGATGAATGTATGGTTGATGACACAGTGATACTTTTAAAATTCCGATGATTGCTTTTATATATGAAATTCCCACTATAAGTGATGAGTATAAACCAATTTATCGAACCAGATTCAGTACAGAGCAAGGTTACTAAACTTAAATGTCAAATTTTTTGAACAATCATTTTATTTAGCATCAGAAGGTGCATTCCTTTATCGTGATGTGACATTGCATCTATTTTTACGATATTAATTAAATATTACCTTGTTAATTTGTGAAATAAAAATTTTAACTGGACTTACTTATATGTTAATGCAGTATGTTGAACAAGTAATAAATTAAAAACTGTAGTTGCATAATATTACAAAATAAATAGCAAACCGTAAGTGTATATAATTCAAAAAAGAATCAATTAGTTCTACCGTTTTAAAAGTGTTGATGGGATTTTGTAATGTGTTATCAAGTTTTTACTATTGATTTATGTCTGTTAGACAATGATTAATATATATTTTAATAATGGTCTATTATTTAAATGATAGGATCTCTTCGAGTAAAAGTTATTCAAAATTATTCATATAAAAATTCATAAATACTTTTGATCGATCGGAAATCCATTTTAAAATCATGAATAATTTTTTCTACCCGGAAAAAATAAACGATTAATAGTATCTAATTTCTTATTGTGTTTATAACAATAAATTTAATTCTTCGTTTCCAGAAAGCTGCTGATGTGGTCTCAAAAAAATTAAATAAATCTTCATTAAAAAATAGTAAAAATACGTCAAGGCGGTGACTTCCGCATAGGTTTTTATTTCTTAGAATCTTCGTACTCAGCACGTTAAGAAAAAAATAGGTATTATTTTTTATTTTATATTTATTTTAGAAATGATTTATGGAATTTTTCATTTCCTCGAAAATTTTATGATTTTTTTGTTAGTTTCGTCCATTAAAACTGCATACACTTTTCCATTACTCATGTAAAACATACCATATATTTACTATAGTTATTGAATACATTTATTTTTCTGAATAAATTAATAAGTAAGTTTCTAAACACTAAAAATCCCTTAATTTCGCATGCAAATTTACTGAACAAATCAATAACTGATCGATGTCGCTCCAAAAAATCATTAAAAAAAATTATAGTAAACCACACTTTTGTAATTATAGCATTTCTTTTATTCCAAAGAATAAGTGAGAATTTTTTGGTACTGAGACATTAAAAAAACTATTTTAATTAAAGTTTATTCAATTTATTATCATTATTATTAGTCATCACTGATCGATAAAACCAAAGCCAAAAAAAATTGAAAATCATCAAGAGTTGGGTTTAGGACAAACGTGTACTTTTAAACTTTTTAATGATATAAGTATTATTTTTAAATTTAAAAATTACAGTGTAATTTAATAGTCGTTATTGGAATGTATGTTGAGTATTTGATTCATAAATCTAAAAAAATTGGTCGAAAGTTGTTTCGAAAGAACTTCCCTAGCACCTAAAGTACAATGAAACATATCTAGTATTTTCCAGTTCAGTTTTGTCTGTATACAATTTTGTGATGACGTTCTCAAGATTTTTGCAAGGACACGTATATCAACTAGGATTGGTGTAGTGTAATACTCAAAATAAATGAGCCGTTCCTGATTTAATCAATAAAATAAATAGACTAATTCATTAATTTAAGCAAATTTAAAAAATATGAATGCAATGATAAATCACAAGTATAGACTCATCACATTTTGGACATTTTAGATAGGATTTATTCGGCAAAATTTGATCTGACGTCATCAGTTTTTTCGAGGGGATAAGCAAATATATTTTGATTAAAAATTTATTATGCTTATCATAACTTTAAAACATCTGCAAGATTTCAAAGCATTCGGTTTTGCAGATTTAAAATTAAATTGCAAAATGTTGTTTTATAATTTTGATTTTTTTCTCAAAAATCTGGACGCTTCTAAAAAAAACTCAACACGGAGTCATAAACTACATGTGTAGAACTATGTTATTTTATACAATTTAAAACTGATTTATTACCTGTAGGTAACGTCACTCAAAATTGTAATTTTGTAATACAAAATTTGATAACAATCACCCTAGTACTTTCGAAGATGATCTGACTAATAAAAATCCAGACAGACAAACGGACGGACAGACAGACGGACAGGCGGACAGACGGACAGACTGACAGACGGGCAGACAGACAGATAGACAGATAGACGAAAACGGGAGACCTATTGCTTCGTACTTTAGGGGTGACCTATTTCTTCGTACTCTAGGGGTGAATGGTCGAGAAAACGAAAAGTAGAGAGTTGGCCAACGGATTCGATTACAATACTTCCTTCACTTACGCTCGGGAAGTAAAATGTACGATATGAATTTTTTATTTCATAAATGTCTTTTGCGTTTTTAACTTGCAACGAAATAAAGAATACTGACTATACTTTTTACTTCATCGCTATCAAATTACCCAATATTTCGCTTGTGGCATTCTGCTTTGTCTGTGTTTTAATATAATAATAATATATTCATATGTATTTGTACAATAAAATTTGCATTGGATCTAGAACGTACATAGCTATTTGAAAAAACTGTTAGAAACACAGATGATTACAGAAAATCGATTAAAATCCATTCATTCATGATTTATTAAATTAAAAATATGCCTGACGACGCAATGTTGTTTATGCTTTAGTAAAGCACCCTTTAGATTTATTTATATACATAAGATGTGTAAAAAATTATGAATGAAGCAATTTATTGTATTCATTAAATGTAGAATTAAGAATGTCTTAACTAATTTTCCTGAAATTCTGAAACACAGAACTCTTGGTTTATAGGTATATCCTAAAATGTTGATAACGTTTAATCATAAAGTTTTATAAAAGAAATCTCTCTTGCAACCTAGCCAAGGATGCTTTTGTCTTCCCGAGCAAAAGCTGAGGGAGTGGTGTAATAGGGTCCTTCGGGCGACTGACTATTTGCATGTCTTCTCGACGTTTCATGATCCCTAGAATGCGAAAAAATGGGTCTCCGCCTATATTTGATAATAATAAGATAAGAATTATCATAACGGCTACTTTCCCAAAATAATATTCAGTGGGTTTTGCCCCATTGTGTAGGCAGCTTGCTATGTACTAAACCCTCCCATTCGTTCGATGTATAAACATAAACAATTGAAGTTAAGCAGCATTGATAATATATTTTCCCGTTAGTTATTTGCTTTAAATAAATTTGACATTGTCGATGGCTGTCCCTTCTGAGGCGCAGGGGTTGTGGAGGTGTCATTTAGTCCACCCATATCTGTATTTTAACTGAAAGGGGTTGTGATAAAAAAATTAAAGTCTTAAAACTGTTTTTTTAATTTTTCGAAGAAGCTGTATTTTTGTTCGAATGTACTTCAGGGGCAAGAGAAGTTTTGTCTAATTAACTTTGAACAATTTTATTATAGGATGGCAGTGTCCTCTTTGTGTTCATAGTAATATTTTAATGGATATTGTTAGTGGTTATAATAAATTGCTCTCACTTTTCTAAATTTTTATTTCTTTTTAATTCACGAGCGTGAGCGTGAAACTACTGGACAGATTGTTGTCAAATTTTGCATATTAAGAATATCGTGTAGATCATAAAACGCTCAACTACATTCGTCGGTAGGAACATAATACAGTATCCAACAAGATTCATTCTCGACATTATTGACAAAATCAAACCAAGGGTACCTAAATAAAAATTATTACAATATGTATAAAAAGACATCTGTACAATGATCCACCCAGTCCTGAGAATGTCGTAAAAGTGTTGGAATGCTGTGATTAAAAACTATGTTCAGGAAATTTGTGATTCTTTGAGTCCCCAGTTAACGAATGTTAGGTTCTTTTGTAAAAAAGCCGAATTCAAAAGATACAACTATTTTTTAACAAGTTTAGTATTATTTTTGCACAAATATGTGAATTTGCCATGCATACTATATTTTCTATTACCCAACCTTAGGTGGTAAAGGACAACAGTTTACATACATATAAATAATATGTGCTGAGACATATTGACCTTATGTTAAACATCGTTGTTTCCTTAGAAGATATAAAACCATTTATTTAGATCTGAAGAAGGCTTGCGCTTGTTTAAACCTCCGCATTTTACTTGCAAAAATAATGTGATATGTAATACATAGAGCGGCATTAAAATGATAAAAATCTTACTTTAGAAACAGATTACAAAAGATGAGTACCGAGAATAATTAATAATGTAAAATGCATATCTGTTTTTAATAATTTATATAAACAACTTGAAAACATCAGCTTGAATAACCATGGAATTATGCAGGTGATAAAAACACACTGGTCCGCCATTACCAGAGTTTTAACAATAAATTAATGAATCTAAAGTGACTTTTCTCAGTTTGCAATTCGAAGTATCATTCAGTCTTAAAAATATGGTAGGTATAATATTTTAGGAGCAGGAGTTAAGGTTGAAAAAAGATTTATATTATCCATAACAATACTCCTCTATCGAAACTTCATTTAAATAGCAGTTAGTGGGATTATGACAGATTACAAAAACAGAGTTTTTGAAAATTTCCTCATTTGAAAATAATATACGGCATATTAATAATATAATAATAATTATAAGTGAGATTTGAAAATTATATTCACATGCTTTATAAAATAGCTATTATATTAAACAATAGATGAACATCATAGTTAAGTTCATATTTAAAAGCCACATCTTTCACACAATAACTATTGAATTTAAAGTATTCTATAACCAACATTATTTATTGCTTGTGGTGCCAATAGATGAAAGCGCTTAATTATTATAACCTGTAACGTAAAATTTATGAGATTATTGAAGGAAGATGTAGTAACTAGTCTGTCTGATTCATGCTAAAAGTGAATGTACGATGCGTCGTCGATATTTGCATTTTTATATACGAAACTCCCACTTAAGGGTATACAGGTAATCATGTGTGACATATGAATGTAAAATCTTTTTAGGTTGTGAAATCAGATTACTAATGGTGCAGTAAAGTGTTGTGAAGATTAACGACGTTTCATCTTTAGTTGAACGAATAAATACATTGTTGCATCTATAAATTA